TTTCAGCTCTACTGCTTAATGGGCTGTGTGAGACTTAAGCAAGTCACTTGCCTTTTCTGGGTCTCAGTTTCCTCACATCTATGAAAGGGTTGGACAAGGTCATCACTAAAAATTTCTTCTGGGTCTGACCTATGGTTCAACAGTCTGCTGCCTGGTATCCTAAACCTGGCCCAGTAAAGGAGAAAAGGAGAGCTACTGGGGAGAGGGGGGTAAGAGGAAAGGGGAAAAGGAGGATGTGAAGGGTAAGCTGCTGGAACAGATTGTAAGTGCTTCTGAGTACAGCAATGAACATTCAGTTTTGTAATTATTTAAACACTGAGGGGGATACAAAGGTTGAAGATGTACTGGCCTCGCCGACCTTATGCCGGCCGCGCCGAACACTCCTCCTATAAGGAACAGGCTGCCAGAGTCATACTCACTCATCAGTCTTCGGTCCTCAACCGGATAAACACACAGAGACGAGCCATCGGGAGGCGCCAACACCAGAGCTTTATTCAGAGGCCATCACAGCAAGGCCAAGCAGGAAGGCCATAGCAACAGAGCAGGAGCCAAGAGAGAGTGCGTGATCTGACCACACTCGTTCCTTAAGTACCTGCTTAGCCCCTCCTCCCCAGCCCGCTTACTAGCCAATGATTGTAGGGTCAGATACCAGAAGGGGCTGTCTGAGTTTAGCACACCAAGGGAGAGGGAGTGATACAGGAGGCTAGGATCGGATACAGGAAGGAGGCATCTGGGATTAGTGCATAGACAGAGTACGTGACCTAGGAAGTCAGGAAGGACACAGGAAGGAGGCATCTGGGGTCAGTGCTACACAAAGGGACCCAGGAAGTCAGGAAGGTCACAGGAAGGAGGCGTCTGGGGTTGATGTTGCATATAGGGAGGGGACTAAGCAAAGGGAACTCGTTCTCTGCCATCCCACTCCCACCGCCCCTTGCCTCAGGAGCACAAGCTCCGGCTACTTCCTTGCACCCAGCTTATCTCACATAGCACTGCCCACTGCCTCAGGGCTTCTCCGTAACCAGCCCATCCCAGTACACCACATGAAGACCCTGCTCCTGCCTTTGCAAAGATGAGAACAAGCTGGGAAGACAAGATTAATCCACAGAAAACAGAGAGCATTTTAGTGACTAAGCACCATTATGAGTGATACAGGCCATGTGTCAGAGAGCTGGAGCTGGAAGGAACCTTCTGGACAGTCTCATCACCCTCCTTATTTTACAGGGGGCCAGCAAAGGGAAGTGACTCACCTATGGAGAAAGCATAGGACAGGAAATCAGGGGATACGGACTTAGTCCTGGTTTCCAGTTCAATGCTGTGTGCATTTGGGGCAGCTAGGTGGTACAATGGATAGAGTGCCAGACTAGGAGTCAGGAAGACTCATTGTGCTGAGTTCAAATCCAGCCTCAGACACTCACTAGCTGTGTGACCCCGGGCAAATCATTTAATCCTGTTTGCCTCCATTCCTCATCTATAAAATGAGCTGGAGAAGGAAATGGCAAACCACTGCAGTATCTTTACCAAGAAAACCCCAACTGGGGTCAAGAAGAGTGGAATCAACTGAACGACAAGAAGCTCTCTCCATTACAATATGCTGCTTGCATTTAGGGAACCCTGATCCTCAGTTCTCTCCCAGAATGGACTTTGTGGAGAAGTCAAGGAGGTAGTTTAGGGGAGAAAATGAGGACATTAACACCCATAGCTAGGCATTCATTGTGGACCATAGAAGAGCTGTACCAGGGGTGGGGAACCTGTGGCCTTGAGGACCTAGAGGGCCACATATAGCCTCCAGGCCACAGGTTCCCCACCCTGAGTTACACTAATAGAGGATGAACCCTTTAAGAATACCAGTTTGGTTCCCTTTTGGTGCGGTGGAGTAACAGGTAAATTGCTGAACTGGGAGTCAGGACAACTGGGTTTGAATCCTGCCTTAAATACATATTAGCTTTTTGATGATGGCTAGGTCACTTAACCTTTTTAGACACTCAGTTTTCTCAACTGTAAAGTGGGGATGATAGGACAGTCCCTTCCCTACAACACTGTCCTGAGGAAAGTGCAGACCTTAACATGCTATATAAAAATGAGTTATTTTTATTTTCTAGCCAACCAGGGGTCTGCCAATATCTGGTAATAAGCTGGGTTGGGCCCTGGACCTTTTCTTAGGGATCCTGTTATCTATACTCTAGTGAGGCTTATGTCTTCAGGAAAACTTACAAGTTAAGTCAGAGTCCTGCAGAGACAGGGCTTGGGCAAATGACAGTGTAATCACTCTCCCCATGCCCTCCAATAATTTAAAATATTATTGTGTGAGTGTGTCTTCATAGTTAGAGGTGTGGATTATCAACAAGGTGCAGGAGGAACAGAATACCAGGAGTCGGGAGAGATGAGATTGCTACTTACTAGCTCTATGACCTTGGGCAAATCATTTACCATCTCTGGGCCTCAGTTTCCTCATCTTTAGAATGAGGATCATAATACTTTCACTACAGTATCATATTGTAAGGAAATACTTTGTGAATTGTAAAACACTCTAGATATGTAAATTTCATGGATTAATATCCTCCTACAAGGGTTCTTAGAAATCATCTAGTTCAACCTTCCCCATTTTACAGATGAAGCAACTGAGGCTGAGAGGTCAAAGTCACATAATAGTAGGGCTAGGATTTGACGCCCCTTTGCATGCTTCATCCTCTCTTACAAATTATATTAATTTAATTGCTGGGGTCCAAATCACTTTACCCCATTTAGCCCTGAAGGCTTTATCAAGTAAGAACATATGTCTATTGAAACAATCAATCAGAGATGTAAAAAGGCTTAGGCATCAAGAAGTAGCTTCAGATTGGTTGAAAAGGGGAAGGGAATAAATATTTCTTTAACACCTACTGTGCACCAGACACTGTATTAAGCACAGCCTTTGAGGTTGGTGCTATTATTATTCCCATTTGACATTTGAAGAAACTGAGGTTAAGTGACTCATCTAGGGTCACCCAGTTAATGTGTCTGAGGCCATATCTGAAGTCAAGTCTTCCTGACTCCAGGCCTAGTGTTTTATCTCCTGTGCCACCAGCTGCCTCACTCACCAGCTTTTGAGAGCCCTATGAGGTTTTATAAAATAGCAGACCATTTCAGAACCTAGAAAATTCCAGCATTAGGTAAGGGTGGAAAGTTAAGCCACTGAGAATGAATTGCTCCGGAGGAGGATAAGGGCCCTGGCCCCAGGCTTAGCCTCATTCTTGGGGATTTTTCATCCATGTCATAGCAGAATCCCAGGGAATGCATTGGCGACTAGCAGTAGTGTCTGTATCAAAAGGCTAGGATTGACTGGACTACAGAGAAAAACAGAGTCAAAACTCCACAAGGAGGCCAGCAGAAGAGCTATACAATAACTAATGGGAACATCTGGAAGACTCCAGCTAAAAGATTTCCAAGAACTGTGTTACCTCTTTGCTACATATGCTCTTCAAGCATATGAGTGTGCCTACTTTCCCCTGGATTCTGTATGTACTTGTGGGAGAGTGCCACAGCCTTTTTTTTTTTGTGGGGGGGGGATGGTTGTATCCACTATACCATTATAGTAAATGCTCATTTCTAAAAGCTGACTAACTGATATCAACTGATAATCATGAGAGAAAGCACAACAGGAGTTCTTAACTTTTTTTGCATCAAGGACCCCTTGGCGGTCTGGTGAAGCCTACACACTTTTCAGAATGGTGTTTAAAAACACCTGAGTTTGATTCCTGCATCAGATTCCTACCAGTTGTGTGAACAGTCTCTTTAATCTCTCTCAGCCTCAGTGTCCTTATCTGTAAAATGTGGATAATAATAGCACCTACCTCCAAGGGTTATTGTGAGGATTACATGAAATAACGTGTTAAATGCTTTGCAAACCTTAAAGGTTATGTAAATTCTAGCTACTATTACTAAATGCATAAAATGAAATACATAGTACTGCCAAGGAGACCAATTATATTGAAATAGAACTATAAAAAGAAAACATTCCAGGTTAAGAACTCCTGTGTGAGAAAGCCCTCAAGATGTAGCAGCCTTGCTCTAGAGACCTGACTGACCTTCGTGAGTAGGAGTTGGGACAGCCAGCTTTAAAGTTTAGATGTACTAAGTAGTGACGATAATGATGATGTTGGTGAGAGGCAGATTGCCTAAGTGGAGAGACTGCCAGTCTCAGAGCTGATCCCCAGGTCCTGTATTCAAATCCTACACGCTGGTTGCGGGATGTGATCCCAGGCAAGTTATTTAACCGCTCAGGTCCCCAGGCTATTCAAGTAAGTCTACGACTACATAAAAGACAAAACATTGCCAGATCCGCATTGCGAGCGCGAATTTCCTCCCTGGGAGTTCCCCACATCAGTGATTTCACAGTTCTAGCCTAATATTAATATGACATCAACAACAACGAAAACCCTCTATAGATCTGAACTTATTTTGCAACCCTTCTACTGAACCTCTATCTCCTCACCTGAGGAGTTGGGCTGATAGAGCCTAAAGCTCCTTCCAAATCCAGATCTATGACCCGAAGAAAGATCATCACTCGGTAGAAGATATGATGGGGGCACTTCCCTCCCTCAGAATTCCAGTATCTTAGGACTCATCTTGGAAGACAAAAGAAGCTGGCACGCTGAGGGAGCCCGAAGGGGTATATGTAGAAGGTAGAAGGGAAAGGCTGGCGTGGTAGTGGCCTGACTGGGGTAAGCGGGGCGGAGGGAGCACTAAGGCACTGGTGGGTGTCCCAGTACTGGAAGAAGAGACTTTTCGTTTTGAATAGGGGTTTCCGGCATTCCGCGTGGGTTTGCTGTTCCTTCCCCTGGGGGAGTGAGCCTCCGTAGCCTGGGGGCCCGGCCATCTGAGCTCCGGGGAGCAGTCCAGGCTGGGGAATTCCGGGCGGGGGCGGGGGCGGCGGCTCAAAGCCCTGGCTGGGAGGGGCGGGGAGGGGCGGGCAGCAGCAGCACGCCACCTATAAGAAGAGCGCGCGCAGCCGGCTCCGGACTTGTCCGGATCCCTAGCCTAACCTTCGCGTACGCCAGCGAGGCTGGGAGGCACCATGCCCCCATTCGGCTATTTCGCTCTCTTGCTCCTGGCTGCTAGCGCCGTAGCCGAATCGGTAGGTGCTTGGGGATCCAAGTGTTTCTGAGTGGCCCTTGGAAGGGGGGGGAGGTCGGTGGAAGTGGGGAGTGCTTGGCGCCTGCTTTGTGCTTGGGGTGCTTGGTGGGGGGCGGGGAGGCAGTGCTCGGACTCGCGTCTCTCAACCCTAGGGATGGAGGGAGGCGGCCACTTCCACTAGAGTTAACTTTGTTTCCCCCTGAACTTTATTCTGGAATGGCGGTGAAGCAGAGGGGGCCCAGAGACGGGGTGTGGGATTGGGCTCCTCTGTCCTCAACTCACCCCTCCTTAGGGTGACTGACCCAGAATGCCACCAACCCCGCCTCTGCTTCCACCCGCACCTATACCGGGGTTCCTCCCTCCTCTCCCCGAGTTAACTTTCTGTCAGGGACGTGATTAACTTGAGACCGACTCCCCCACCCCACCCCCGCCCTGTGGCCAGCCCCTATCCCATCGCTACACCGCACCACCACCCCCTCCATTGGGCCCCAGCCTGCCTTCGATGGAGTGATGGGGGGGTAGGGGGAGGGTGCTGCTGGGGGACAGATCGAGCTCGCATAAGTAGAACTTGAGAGCTGAAATTTTAGATCTTAAAACTCATCTAGTTACCTCATTTTACATTTGAGGAAACTGAGGCCCAGAGAAGCTAGTTAATGACAGAGCCACTATTCTGTCTTATGACTCTAAATCCATTGATCTTTACAATTTTTCATGCTGGTTGGAGTTTGGGATTGGTGATATAGGCGACCTCCCTTCCTCTTCTTCTGGATCTGGGTTCATCCCTTATGGCAAGGTACGATCCAGAGGCTAGCCTCCAACTTCACCGCTACCCCTCCTCCCTCCCCACTTAAAGGAGGGGAAGGAGGCGGGAATCAAAGTTCAGCTGCTCTTGGTAGAAAAAGCCCAATGCTTTTAGCCTGGGTTTTCAAGTCCTTTTTCTGGCGCTAACTTGCTGACCTTGGACGAGTCAATTTGAACACACGTTGTAGAGATTCATTCTTGATGTGAGAGATACAAAGTTAACATTAGACCAGCTCCTGAGTGTAAGGGATGACCATCTACTAGCACTTCCCCTCACAGCCTTAATTTTCTCAACTGTAAAAGGGGGATAATGTGGCTTATAATCAAGTATCGCCCTGAGCTCTTTTGAGGATCAGAAGAGATTATGGATGCCAAAGTGCTTTGGAATTTTAAAAGTTTACATAAAAAATGTGGTGTATTATTGACTTCCCACCTGGTGGAGCCTGAGGTGAGAGTGTGGGAGGGAGAAACTGGACTGCCAAGAGTTACTCTCATAAACTACAGTAAAAACTGAAGCAGAGTGGACTCCATTGGGGTGAGGAAGCAGTGTTTTCTTGACTCTTCTCCAAACCGAAGCTCCCCCCCTATGGTGTAAATGTGTGAAACTTTGTTCCTTATGCTGTTGTCTGGAGCAGAACTTTTTACCATTTTCTTGCTAAACTTTAGCCCAGGCCCGGGAGCCTTAGCAGCTTAATCATTAAATATTGATTCAACTTAGAACTCTGAGGCCTCTTGCAAACAGTTTGGGGGCAACCTTTGGACAGGATGGGCAATGATATCGTTCCATTCAACACTTACCTGCCCAGACTGCAAGGAATTGTGTTGGAGATGGAGCTAAGAAAATGACGTGTAAGCTTCTTGAGGGCAAGGACTACGAGCTTGGGGGGGATCTATACGACATGTCCATAGGTTAAGATAAAACCGAGTAAAGGTCTAGATCAGAGGCTTCAAACAAGCTGCCTGAACTAGATTAAAATGTCATTGGGAAATATTTAGCAAAACAAATAAAAATAGAAAATGTGAACAATATAATATTTTAAGACCAAGTCACTTGTGGCCCTCGGGGATCCTTGTGTATTGACTCCTTTTCTATTTGAGTTTTTCATAGCATTGATCAAGATTAGTTTCTGGGCACAAGTTGGAGGATGGTGAGAATGGTTTCTTGGGATCAGGGAAGAAGGCTTAGAGGAAGAAATGGTGCAATTGAGAGAGTCCCTATATAGGGACCGAGAATTGGGAAATACCTGAATTCACATCTGGCCTCAGACATTTACTAGTTGTATGAACCTGGACAACTAGTCATTTAACTTAACCACTTAACTACTGACTGCTTTCAGTTTTCTCAGCTGTAAAATGGATTAATAATAGTACCTATGGCCATTGTGAGGCCCAGATGAGATAGTATTTGTAAAATGCTTAGCACGGTGCCATTTGTTAGGAGCTATTTAAATGCTAGCTATCACTATCATTAGTATTAAGTGAGTTAACATGTAAAGCACTTTGCAAACCTTAAATGCTAGCTATTTTTATTATCATTACTACTAAAAAAGGGGGTTATATGTAAATATCCTGTGTTCCATTTCAGCAGAATAATAATATCCTTCTGAAACTTTTTATTTTGGGAGGAAGATGAAACTCATGAACAATGTAGTTCATACAACCAGCTCTTTGGGAGCCCCCAAAAGAAAGACTAATCCTGCGGTAGAGTAGCTTATGCCGCCTAGGGGAGGTAGACCTTGAATAAGGAAAGCCCTTTGAGGGCAGAGAGTACTTTTTTGGATTTGTATTCCCAGGGCCTGGAACATAGTAGGAGTTTAATAAATGCTGAATCATTGAAATTACTGAACTGGAAGGTGAAGCCCCTATCAAGTTCAGGCTGTCTTTTGGGGAGAAAAATAACTAGAGACATTGGGTCTACTAGAAAGAGCACAGGACTTGGAACCAATCAACAAGCATTTATAAAGAGCCTACTGTGTGTCAGGCGCTATGCATGTTGAGAGATGGGAGTGCTGGGTGTGCCATACAGCAAGGCCAGTTTGCCTAGACCAGTTTTTGAGAATGAAAGGGAGTAATGTGTACCAAGTCTGGAAAGGTCATTTGGTGCCAGATTGTGAACTCTGAACAGGGTATATGTTTATTTGGTCCTGGAGGTAACGAGCCAATTGGAGTTTGCTGGTGAGCCATTGGAATTAGTCAGACCAGATCTGTCGAATTTTACTTTGGTAGCTAATTGGAGATGGGAGACATTTGAGGCAGGAAGGCAGGAGGTTATTGTAATAGTCCAGGTGAGAAATGATGAGGGCCTGAGATAGAGTAGAGGCTGTGGGTGGAGAGAAAGGGACAGGCAAAAGCAGTGTTGTCAAAAGAGAAACAAGATTTGGCATTGATTTGATGGGACACCTGGGGTGGGGGTGAGCAGGAGAATGAAGCCGGGGTTAACATCCAGGGGACTGGAAGGATAGTTAGTGGTGCCCAAGGCGAGTGCTGGAAGCAGGGCTAGTTTGTAGAGGAAAGGTGATCATTTCTGTTTGCTTTATTTGAATTTGAGGTGGGTCTGCTGGACAGTTTGAATTCCACTTCTGCGGTTAACTGGCTCAGTGACCTTAGGTAAAACATTTTCCAGCTCTAGGCTCAGTGCTCTGTAAAATGAGTGGGTTGGATTGGGTGATCTCTGAGCTCTCCACGAGTTCCAGATCTTGTGGTTGGGTGAAGAGACTTATCCAGAGTCAAGTAGAAAGAAACCAGGTATCCTGCCCAACGGGCAAGCCCAGGATTCTTGTTACTCAAACCACAGCTGCTTTCAAGGATAGTCAGGTTTGAAGAGAGGAGGAGGAAGAGACAGCACTAGCAAACGCTTGAAAAGGCCCCATTCATTGCCTATGCCCCGTGTGACTTCCAGGACAAGTCACTTTCCTTTTTGAGCCCTATTTTCCTTCTGCTAAATGACTCCTGGACTGGTTCTGAGTTTCCTTCTAGATTTGAATTTTATGATCAGTAGGGAAATAGCAAAATTTAATACCTACTATGTTTAGAGCACTGCTGTGTATATAGTCTTCTATTTTTATGGGTCTTGGTGCTGGATTTAGAGTCCAAGGACTTAGGTTCAAAACCTGGCTCTGTTACCAAGTTTTTGACCTTGGTAAAAATCACTTTGCATTTCTGGGCCTCAACTTTGCTTCTCCAGAGGTTATGTTCTCTTAGATGACCTCTAAAAGTTCCTTCCAGCCCTGATTCTGATGCTGTGATCTCATGTTTACAAGGTAAACCTGTGTTGTAAACATTCTTATTCTCCTTTTATAGCTGAGACACCTAGGTAAGGGACACAATTTGGTAAAGGTCACATGATTATTACATTGGTATAGCTGGGACTGGAACCCTTAGACCCCGACTCAGGGGTCTAAGACACCTTCCTTCCTCCAACTCTAGACCACCTGTGCACATTCCCAAGGCAGAGTGTTAATCGGCTCAGAAGTGGGGGAAGGAATTCTTCCCCCTTAGTGACTTTTGGTTCAGTGTGGCACTTTGGCGGGCTAGAAGTGGCTCCTGCTGTATTGAGGAAGTAAAGGGAGCAGGAGCGAGCTGGCCCTCTGTCCTCAGTGGAAGAGTTAGATGTTTACTTGAGTCACAAGGATAAGGTAACCTGCTATTGCTTGCCTGACTCCTGGTAGAGGTCATTGATCTTTGACCTCTGCCCTTTGGCTCCAGTTTCCTAGCTTCTGTTGGCCCCTTAAACAAAGAAAAAAGGCCAAGGTTTGTCTGAAAGGAAGAATTACTTATTCCTTTGGGTCACCTGACCTGTTGTCTGAGCTTGGGGTAGAGAAAGCAGAGAATAAGGCTTTAATGCAAAGGTGATGGGAGAAGGGAGGAGGTTATAACGATAACTCTGGGTTGGTTTTTTGTTTTGTTTTTTTATTTTTTTTTTTAAGTTTTTCTAACACATTCACACCTATTCTTTTATTCAATCTTTTTTTCCCCCCAACCCTGGAAGCCAGAAATTATATCAGTTTTGCAGATGAGGAAACTGAGGCTCCCATCACACAACTAGTTTGTAACAGAGCTGAGACTTGGAGCCGAAGTTTATTGATTCCTAATCTGGCATTCTTGGTTCCATACATGATCGGTGTCCAATCGGGTTCAGTGAAGTGATTTGTCCAATAGCCCAGAGCTGGCATTAAAATTTGGATCTCTTGACTCTATCCA